CCTGCTCCTGGTTGACCTGGGCTCCCTGTGTGCTGAGCGCCCCCTGCTGGCCCTGGTCGCCCTGCAGGAGGTTTGTGTCTGGGCTCACACTGAGGTCCCCTCACTGTGTCTCTAGCACAGTAATAGGTGGCTGTGTCCTCTGCTCTCAGACTGCTCATTTGCAGGTACAGGGTGTTCTTGGAGTTGTCTCTGGAGATGGTGAATCGGCCCTTCACAGAGTCGGCATAGTATATAGAATTACTATCGTACCTAATGCTTGAGATCCACACCAGCCCCTTCCCTGGAGCCTGGCGGACCCAGTGCATCCAGTAGCTACTGAAGGTGAATCCAGAGGCTGCACAGGAGAGTCGCAGGGAACCCCCAGGCTGCACCAGGCCTCCCCCAGACTCCACCAGCTGCACTTCACACTGGACACCTGCAAACACAGAGGCAGCCTGGTCAGGACACTGTCACTCACCCACTCTTCCTCTCACTCTTTCCACTCACACACTCAGGGTCTCTGTTCTCCATTCATTACCTTTGAAAACAGCCACCAGGAAAACCCAGCTGAGCACACTCTCCATGGTGAGCAGCTGTGTTCAGTCCTGATCACTGAGTGGGCTGAGCTGGGAGTCCAGGGCTGGGCTCCTGTGCAGAGCTGCAGGGTCAGGTGGGCTGGTTTTCATGAGCAGAGGGAGGCCCTATTTGCATGTCCTCCTGCTATATAGCAGCTCTGGGTGGAGGTCCAGGTAGAGCAGCTCTGAGAGCAGGTGGGAGTGTAATGGGTTAGAACGGTGTAGTTGGTAGGGTTAAGAGAATATGATTAACTTTGCCGATTTTTCTGTTGGCATTTACCACCCATTAATTTCTTTTACACATGTACAAAATATTATGATCCAGGACAGTGTTAACTCCATGGTACAAATGTAAAATCACACCTGCAGCATGAGTGGTGGTCACTGTGTCCAACAGCACGTATCTGGCAAGAGTTAGAGGAGTATTTGTGCTGTTGGTCTCACCTTGGACATGACTGCCCCACAGACCTTCCTCCAACTCCCAGGCAGAAACACCTGGTGACCTCAGAGCCCCGTTTTGGGGGTGACCTCACACTTGCTGGGAGCTGTGCTCCCTCAGGCTGGAGCAGACTGGGGGCTGGACAATCTCAAGGGCACAGGTGAGGCCCTGSCGTGTGACCCCCTGACTGATGTCAGGCCATGTGCAGGACAGGGAGGGGCAGAGAGGGGCAGTGCAGGCAGAGCTGGTGCTTTGCAGTTTGGCCAGGAGAGCAGCACACTTGTGGTGCTGCCCAGGAGCTGTGGMCAGGAGGGTGAGGCCAGCAGCTGCACTGGGAGCAGC